TGAGACGGAGTTTCACTCGTTACCCAGGCTGGAGTGCAATGGCGCAATCTCGGCTCACCGCAACCTCCGCCTCCTGGGTTCAGGCAATTCTCCTGCCTCAGCCTCCTGAGTAGCTGGGATTACAGGCATGTGCCACCATGCCCAGCTGATTTTTTGTATTTTTAGTAGAGACGGGGTTTCACCATGTTGACCAGGATGGTCTCGATCTCTTGACCTCGTGATCCACCCGCCTCGGCCTCCCAAATTGCTGGGATTACAGGCGTGAGCCACCGCGCCCGGCCTATTATTATTATTTTTGACACGGAGTTTTGATCATGTTGCCCAGGTTGTAGTGCAATGACATAATCTCGGCTCACCGCAATCTCCACCTCCCAGGTTCAAGTGATTCCCCTGCTCAGCCTCCCGAGTAGCTGGGATTACAGGCATGCGCCACCACGCCAGGCTAATTTTGTATTTTTAGTGGAGGCAGGGTTTCTCCATGTTGGTCAGTCTGGCTCGAACTCCTGACCTCAGATGATTCGCCCACGTTGGCCTCCCAAAGTGCTGGGATTACAGGCGTGAGCCGCTGTGCCCAGCCTAGTTCTCTAAATCCTTTACCTTGAACGGTAATGGGTGTTTTAAGCACCTTGATCGATTGGTGTGGAAAATATTGTTTGGTCCTGAGGGCGGTCTCTGAAACATGCATGGATGCTTGCCTGACCTAGTTGTAAGGGACACCCTGCTTTCAAAAGGAGCCATTGTTTTGGATGATTAAAAGGAGATTCTGTGTCCCTGTTCTCTAAGTTCTGTTAGTTGCTATTTGTATTTTATCTTCTTATCTGCCACTTGCTTTCTCACTTTGACCTCAATTTCCTAATCTTCTGTTCTGAGATCTGCCAGTTTGCTCTGTCTGTGCTCGTTTTGGGTCAGGCTTGCCCCTTGTTTCTGGTAGGTTTCAAACTGTCACCGCACCCTGCTCTCCTAGCCGCCCCCCGCTTCTACTTTCTAAGCATTCTCTTGCCTCCTTAAATGGGAAATCAAAACTCACACTTTCTTTTTTTTAAATGTTGACCCTTACCCATAAATGTACCTGTCCCACGATCTGTATAGGATTTTAAGGAAACAGAGGAGGAGCTACGACAAAATGGGGAGAAGAAATGAGAACTGTGGCAGCAGCCTACGTGTGTCAAACGTCTCTCAGGAGGTATGGCAGGCGCCGAACTTGAGTGTTTGGACAGCTGCTCCTGTTGCTAAGACATGACTCCCGGCCGGGCGCGGTGGCTTACGCCTGTGATCCTAGCACTTTGGGAGGCCGAGGTGGGTGGATCACCTGAGGTCAGGAGTTCAAGATCAGCCTGGCCATGACGGTGAAACCCCATCTTAAAAAAAAAAATAAAAAAAAAAAGATATGACTCCCATGGAGTTTTCTTGCAGTGACGCCCTCACTGCTTTTGTATGGCGAGCAGTTTACCCTGTGTTTTCCTCTTGGCACATTTGGACCAGCAAATGGAAATTTTGCAATTCTTTTAACAAAGGGAAAATTAGCCAGCTCTTCTCCAAATGTCAGACATTTCTGATTGCAACTTGGCTTTGTTAAAGGTGCTACCTTGTTATCAACCAGGCAGCTGCTCACTTTTGTTTTCAAACACACAGTTTGTGAAAAATATTATAAGGCAGGTGAGATATCAAAAAGTATAATCAAGTCCCAGCTCTTAAGAAATTTACAGACTCTCAGACTTTATGTTTAGTTTATAAGCCTTCTTTACCAGTTGATCAATTTGGTGATGTTAATTTTTTTTTTGAGACGGAGTCTTGCTCTGACTGCCAGGCTGGAGTGCTGTGGTGTGATCTTGGCTCATTGCATCCTCCACCTCCCCGGTTCAAGTGATTCTCCTGCCTCAGCCTCCCAAGTAGCTGGGATTACAGGTACCCACCACTACACCCAGCTCATTTTTATATTTTTCGTAGAGATGGGGTTTGACCATGTTGGCCAAGCTGGTCTCAAACTCCTGACCTGAGGTGATCTGCCCACTTTGGCCTCTCAAAATGCTGGTATTTCAGTGTGAGCCACAACACCTGTCCCTCACCCTCATTCTTTAAAATCAGAATTTGTAGTATTTTTTTACTGCTATTATTTTTAAAAAGCTCCCCCAGATGATTCTCATGTAGAGAGTAGCCCTTGTACATATCATGCCAGTGAACAGAGAATTAATTTTATTAATTATATTTTTCACAAATCTACAGAGAAAGATAATCTGCAGCCTCTCTTCCAATGTTCAACTACCATTCTTATTAGGAGATATCTCTTTGTGGATAAATTAAATCCTCATGCTCTATTGAAGCTTATTTCTCCCTGTTTCTCCTCAGTGAAGAACTTGTATCTAATAATACCTAATATTTCATTTGCTTAGAGTTTAATTGACAAAGCTTTTCTTATTTGAGATAGAAAATAACTGGATTCATTCCTAAAAAGTTACTTTTTTTTTTTTTTCTTGAGATGGAGTCTTGCTCTGTTGCCTAGGCTTGAGTGCAGTGGCGTGATCGCAGCTCACTGCAACCTCCACTTCCTGGGTACAAGTGATTCTCCTGCCTCAGCCTCCTGAGCAGCTGGGATTACAGGCATGTGCCTTCACACCTGGCTGATTTTTGTATTTTTATTGGAAACAGGGTTTCACAATGTTAGCTAGGCTGGTCTTGAACTCCTAACCTCAGGTGATCCTGACCTGTCTCGGCCTCCTAAAGTGCTGGGATTACAGGCATGAGCCACTCCGCCCAGGCTTTTATAGGCTTTTATATCTGGTACTCAGATACAGAAAGTTTGATGAATGGACCAATGTGTTCCAGAGACACACTGAACAGGACATGTTATTACATTTTAAAAATCAACTTTGAAAACCTGTGTGTCATTGTTTTTAACAAAATGTGAATGAAACCACAAATTATTGTAAGAGACTTTCTGCCCTACTTCTTTTCCTCCTTCCCTCCCATAAATGAATGAATGAATGAATGAAAAAAAAAATAAAGCCTTTCTAATTCCTGAACAATAGTATTATCAAGCTGATAAGGGTTTGATAAGAGAAAATTGCATTCTCCTCAAAGATGCTGATAAGTTCTTTATAATGAGGTGGGGAGAGTCATGAAGCTTTATGAGTTTTCTCATACTTTACCCAAAGAACATGTAAAATTATCGAGCTTTTTATGTTGTCTTAATGTTAAGTTTGTCCTAAAACATTGTTTTAGAACTTATCTCACTGGAATTTGGATTCAGAAGTACCTGTTCCTGAAAATAGAAGCCTCCCAGCTGGAAGGATTGTGCAACAGGTGGTAAGAAAGCCTAGATGTGTATACTTATACTGAAATAATCACGCATTAAAGGGGGTTTGTTTTGAATATAACCAGTTTTATGTAACTATTAATTGTCATTTTTATACACATTCTTTCAGGCAAAATTAACAAGGTAAGGATAAATGTTTGGTGTTAAAGTACTCATAAAGCATATTATTTTTAAATTATAAGTATGTTCTTTAAAAAAAAGTCCTTCCTGAAAGTTAAACTTTAAATTTCATTTCTATAGAGTTCTTCATGCAAGCCAAAGCCTTTGTTATTTTACAGAGTTTCAAATTGGTTATTAAATTGATATTTTGTTATATTAAGTATTTTTCAGTATAGTGATACTATAAATGAAAATTGAGTATAGTGTTTCTCAGTCGTTGCCAAAAGGGAAGTAGTCCCATCCTTTAAAATGTCTTGAAGCAAGTTGGGCGCAGTGGCTCACACCTGTAATCCCAGCACTTTGGAGGCTGAGGCGAGTGGATCGCTTGAGGTCAGGAATTTGAGATCAGACTGGGCAATATGGTGAAACCCCATCTCTACCAAAAATACAAAAAAGTTAGCTGGGCATGGTGGCACATGCCTGTAGTCCCAGGTACGCAAGAGGCTGAGCTCAGCAGAAGAATTGCTTGAGCCCAGGAAACAGAGGTTGCAGTGAGCCGAGATTGCACCCCTGTTCTCCAGCCTGGGTGACAGAGCGAGACTCTGCCTCAGCAACAACAACAAAATCTTCAAGTAGTTGAAATAACCAATATCTTGTCCTAAAGTAGTGGAAAATTAATCTTTTTGTTTATCTTTTAATGTAAAACATTTAACTGCAAAATAAAGACAGTTTAGTTGGTATTTATAATAAATAGGTTATACTAATTTCTGCTGAAATCAGTAAAAATAAATGATTTCTTTATATATAAATGAAGTATCAATTTTACTATATATTCCTTGATTAGAACAAGAACTATACATTCTTAGAACAAGAATAGAAAACAAATAAATTTATGTTTAAAAATTTTCTGCTGCCTTATAGAACTATTTGGAAATTCCAGTAGACCAACTGATGCTAGAACCTAATTTGTCGGTGCATACTCAAAAAAGCATACAGGTGGGATTTTATTCATCAGACCCTTAAAATGTTATATTTTAAAAATATATGCAGCTACTAAACTATTACCCATGATTTTTCTATCATCAGAATAGTAAGCAAGGGATATTTCAATTATGGAACTGTCCTCTTGATGAAGGAAGTACCATAGAGAACAGGTAAGTGAATAGTTATTTTGTAACACCCTACTGAAATACATTTAAATACAGAGAGACAACTATTTGAAATACAAAAATGTATTCTGTGGGAATGATGGGCAATTATAGAAATCCACCCTAAAACAGGAGGTGGCTGCAGATACCAGGAGACAATTAGAATAGGTAAGAGTTGGCTGGGCGCGGTGGCTCACGCCTGTAATCCCTGCACTTTGGGAGGCCGAGGTGGGCAGATCACCTGAGGTCAGGAGTTCGAGACCAGCCTGACCAACATTGGAAACCCCGTCTCTACTAAAAATACAAAATGAGCCAGATGTGGTGTCGCATGCCTGTAATTCCAGCTACTGGGGAGGCTGAGGCAGGAGAATCACTTGAACCCAGGAAGTGGAGGTTGTGGTGAGTTAAGATCGTGCCATTGCACTCTAGCCTGGGGTACAAGAGCGAAACTCTGCCTCAGGAAAAAAAAAAAAAAAAAAAGAATAGGTAAGAGTCGAGAGTTTACCATGCTTTGACAATGAAGGTTTTAGATGGATAAAGTAGGGACTTCCCGTTGAAAGGAAAAGGAACTGTAATAGAAAAGTAGTATTGAATTCTAGGGACTGTGTTAATTCTTTCTATGTAGTAATTCATTTAACTCACAACCGACCATATAAGGAAGGCCGTTATCATCATCCCTGTTTCACAGATAAGGACATTGAGGTATGGTGACAAGTAACTTGCTTAAAGTCGCACAATATTAAAATGGTAGAACCAGGATATGAAAGTAGCCTGGTTCAGGCTCATAGACAGGACAGTATATCGCTTCTCAGACCTTACCTGAGTTTTTTGTTTTTTTTTTTAATACTTTTAAGTTCTGGGATACATGTGTACAATGTGCAGGTCTGTTACATAGGTGTACGTGTGTCATGGTGGTTTGCTGCACCCAACCTTACCTGAGTTTTAATTCTTATTTTTTGGTTCTTAAACTTTATCATGCATTAGGACTAGCTAGAAGGCTTCTTCTGGGACAATTTTTGATAGACATTGTTGGCTTCCTTTTTTTTGTTACAGGAATTTTTTAAAAACCACAGTGGCTAACATAGAAGGCTTTTTAAAGTAACCTAATTACATTTTTCAGTTTCCTTCCCTTATCTAATTATGGATCAATAAACATCTCGATTTGAGTTAGGTATCCTCATTTTCAAACATCATAATTGCAGGTACACTACAGGCAAACATATAGTTAGCCACTTTAACCTATTGGCTATTCACAGCCACAGTTAGCCATTTTCGGTATCATAAGCTCGTCACTTGTGCTTGCACAAAGGGATGCTAAGTTAATATTTTAATCTCAATTTTTAAAAATGTATATAATTGTATGTAGAGCATTTTTGGAAATTAATATTTCTGTTACAGGTAGCTAGATACACATATGCCATTGGGAACTAAACATTAACCAATCTTTGATAAAGGGTACTTAACATATCATTTTAATAGCATTTTAATTCTAGTCAATAAACCATTCATTGGTTAAATTATTTTTTAAAGGGAATTCAAAAAATCTTCCGTGGAAACTGGCTTTAATGTAACCAATAATCCTGTAAGGGTCTTCACTCCGAGCCACTCATTAACAAGTGCTTCAGTTGATAAGCAAGTTGGTCCTTACCCTGGACTGCCAGGGCCATTAGGTGTCTGCTGGTCCTATGCTGATGGAGACTTTTTTAAGAACAGAAATGAGATTCATATTAGTTCATGTTCAACTATAGGAAACAACGATGGCGAAATTTTACCTGCTCCAAATTGGAATTTGAAACATGAAAACAGCAGTGTGGAAGAAAATTTAACAGATGAAAGTGATTTATCAGAAAATGAGAAAGCAAATGATACTTTACTCAGCTATTTTAAAAAGATGGACCTGAACTTGAAACCAGAAACAATAGAAAATGTTGAAGAGTCTTTCACCGAGGAGCCAAACGAAGTATTTCCATATCCTGACTTTCTCCCTCCTCCTTTCAGCACTCTAGACTTGCACAATTTAGCCCTCTCAAAATCTGACAGTTGGAAAGCGACAGTGGAACCTGCAGAAAGCTCTCTTGAACACTTGATAACTCGTTTACTGGAACTGGAAAGATTACAACATACGACTATTCAAAAAGAGAGGCCCAGACTCCAAACAACTCTCTGTACTCCAGCAGTTACCGAACGACCCTTTTCCTCCAAAGTTACACCAAAAGTGAGACAGCCAAAACCCTGTGACTCTTTGAGTCTTCAGATGCCTTGTGTAGATAAAAGTCAAGAAAAAAGAAAAAACAATTCTGGTTCTTGCAAGCTTGAGCAGAATTCTTTAAAATGGAATTGGAGCAATGCTGGCAAACATAGATGGCACTCATCTCTAAAAAGTTCTTCCACCACAAAACAATTGATTGCAACTTATGATGATAAGAATCCCAAAAGTTCTGTTTTAAATCCATGCCAAGAACTCTCATCCAAGCCTACTGCTGGCCAGACAACTCAATCACTGGTTAAAATGGTCTCCACAAGATGTCTGCCATCGAGGTCTCCAATGCCAGTTTCACCTATACTTCTGTCTTTTCCCGAAAATCAGAAGGAAATTAAGGCACCAAAGAGAAACTTTGGAACCAAAAAGAAACTTTACCGACAAAATATAGTGTTGAATAGACCATTCTATATTCAGAAGCTAAACTGTTTGTCGCCTTCCTTTATTGCTAAGGATAAGCGCTCACCCACTTACCAAAAATAACTCTTTTCTTTCATACATTGCAATGTGAACGGATCTATTCGAAGAAGCCCAACTAAGATATGGTTAATTATTCCAAGACACAGGTATTATTTAAAAAAAAATCAAACCAAACAGTTGCTTGATGTGATATGGAGTGTAACTTGTGAAAAGCACTGCTGGGATGTCTATATATAAACCCACAGGCTTCTATACTGATATATTTGACAATCTTCTGCAATTTGTGTTTCAAAGAAATGGTTCGTTTAGTAGACTATTCTATTCAAAAGGCTATTGTTTTTTTCAGTGATCGTTTTCCAGTATAATTCCATCAATAAATGGTATAATTGACTTATTGCAGCTGTAGTTCTTTTATTGTTATATAAGAGTTGATTTTTTAAGTCTTTCCCACTCTGGTACCCTTTTTTTTTTCCTCCGCCCTCATCTCTACGGATCTATCATTTGGACCTATCCGTTGAGCATTTACTTGGCCCTTAAAAGCTAAAGTTGTTTTATTAATGTACAAGATCCTCTAGTTCCTCCCAAATCCTTAGAAATTTTCTATGTTCCAAGACTTTCTTTGTCATATACATGAAAGATAGTTCTCTTTGGGGCCCCAACTACAGGTTTGGGCATGAAGTAACCCTCTTCCACTCAGACCCGATATTTTTTTAATGTTGAAGGAAAGATTGGATAAGAGCACTGTCCACAGAGCAGCCAAAATGTCATATTACTAGAATTTTTTCCAAGGCTCTGCACTGCTGGAAGTCTTAAGGCTGGTTAGTTGAAACTCTTTTCAGCCAACACGGAAGTCATTAGTGAAAAAGGAAAACTACATGACTGACAAACGTTGCTGCACGTCAGAATCAAGGAAAAAATATAGAGTCCTAGCTTCTATTGCAGGCCCTCTGAAACACAATCTTTGGAATTGGGACCCATGGACACACATTATAAACAAACATTCCAGGTGATTTTAATAATTTTAATGGAGGTAGTTCTTGGATCACACTTTGAAAGATGTAGGGGAAAGGACTGATGTAACATATCTACATTAGAGGTTGAGATATTTTGGGGTATATTTTGGTTTTAAGTGTGTGGTGAATTCAAATTAATTTTTTTAGAACATTAAAAAAATACACCATTAAAACTTCAACTATTACCTAAAGGTACCAAATGAAAAGTAAGAGGTGGCCGGGCGCTGTACCTCACACCTGTAATTCTAGCACTTTGGGAGGCTGAGGCAGGTGGATCACAAGGTCAGGAGTTCAAGACCAGCCTGACCAACATGGTGAAACCCGGTCTCTACTAAAAATACAAAAATTAGCCAGGTGTGGTGGTGGTTGCCTGTTATCCCAGCCACTTGGGACCCTGAGGCAGAGAATTGCTTGAACCAGGGAGGTGGAGGTTGCAGTGAGCCAAGATTGTGCCATCCAGCCTTGACAACAGAGCAAGACTCCGGCTCAAAAACAAAAAAAGTAAAAGGCCTCCCCACCTCCTAACCACCACCCCCCAACAAATGACAGCCACTGAGTTTTTGGGTATCATCCCTCCAAATGAGATGGAATATTTGAATTAGGGATCAGTGAATTAATGGATAATTCAAATAAACGCTGAAGAGAACAACTGTAGCTTTTCTTTTCCAGCTTAGTAGCTTAAGGCTCAAATAGTTTTCTTAGAGGCAGGGAACACAGGCATCATCTTAGCTTTTAGTTTAATTTCAAAGAATTTTCTAGAATCATATAGCATAGCAATAGAAAACAAACATAATTGGTTAGCCTCCCTTAGCAAAAAATTTTACCTGTATCCCATATAATTAGTCTCATTAATCCAAAGTGGTATAATATCTCTCATAAAAGTATATGCCAAAATTGGCTTACATTTTCACTAAATTCCAGCTCTCAATGACCTGTTTCCCACCAACCATCTTTAATCTTTAATTCTTACAATTCCTTCTAACTTGTGTACTGAACCTTTTTGACAAGCTGTCTGCATCCATTCTCTTTTCTACCTTCCTTAGCTACCTGGATTCTTCCCCTCACCTCCAGGGTCATGATGTAATTTCTTTTTTTTTTTTTTTTTTGGGACGGAGTTTCGCTCACATTACCCAGGCTGGAGTGCAATGGCGCGATCTTGGCTCACTGCAACCTCCGCCTCCTGGGTTCAGGCAATTCTCCTGCCTCAGCCTCCTGAGTAGCTGGGATTACAGGCACGCGCCACCATGCCCAGCTAATGTTTTGTATTTTTTTTTAGTAGAGACGGGGTTTCACCGTGTTGACCAGCATGGTCTCGATCTCTTGACCTCGTGATCCACCCGCCTCGGCCTCCCAAAGTGCTGGGATTACAGGCGTGAGCCACCGCGCCCGGCTATGATGTAATTTCTTATTTGTAAAATCTTCCTGTAATCCCAGCACTTTGGGAGGCCGAGGCGGGTGGATCACAAGGTCAAGAGATCGAGACCATCCTTGTCAACATGGTGAAACCCCGTCTCTACTAAAAATACAAAAAATCAGCTGGGCATGGTGGCACGTGCCTGTAATCCCAGCTACTCAGGAGGCTGAGGCAGGAGAATTGCCTGAACCCAGGAGGCGGAGGCTGCGGTGAGCCGAGATCGCGCCATTGCACTCCAGCCTGGGTAACGAGAGCGAAACTCCGTCTCAAAAAAAAAAAAAAAAACCTTCAAAAAGGACATGCCTGTTTTTCTCACCACTGTGTCCTGGCAGGATTGACTGACCAGTTTTCATGCATGGCATAGTGGTTACAAGCACTAGCTCTGTTGCCAGGCTGGCTAAATTCAAACCCAGACTCTTGCCACTGAACAGCTCTAACAGCTTCAGCGGTTTCCTTAACCTCTCTTGCTTCACTTTTCTGATGCGTGAAGTGGGTAAACTGTCTTTATCTCACGTAATCACGAGGGTTAAGTGACTAGGAGCAAAAGCGCCTGGTGTATAGCAAACACAAAATACATTAGGGAAGTAAGAATGACACAGGGCAGGCCACCTCTTTAGCACTAGTTAGGGGCAGGAACAATTGATTCCTAACAAACAAATGTCCTATTTCTTGCAAGGCATGTGCCAAGGCACAGGGAAGTGGTATGGTGCAACAAAGACACAAACTCTTTCAGTGAGACTAGGCGTGGGAATGGGCACAGGAGATGGGACCGGAAGCAGCAAGTTTTGTAGGCATTAGAGAGGTATCATCTCGTTTATCCTGTAGACTGATGGGGGGAAAGACCTGGTTCCAACAGGTAAACTGGGGCCCCCTTGTCCACGTATGTAGTGGACGAAACTCGACCCATGAAAAAATACAACATATCTGGCTATTTTTCATACTTGATGGAAGACAACATCCACCATTATCTTTAAAGAAAGGCAGTTTATAACAAAAACTCTTCAGGAAAATTTAACTTGGTTTGCTCCCAAATTCCCATGTTTAGCTCTCCAGTCATTGATAGTTCTCAGCTCACTGGATCTTCATGAGGTTGAATCTTTCTAATCAGAGAAAGTATGTGTGGCCAGGTGTAGTGGCTCACACCTGGAGATCCCAGCACTTTGGGAGGCTGAGGGTGGATCACCTGAGGTCAGGAGTTCAAGACCAGCCTGGCCAACATGACAAAACAGTCTCTACTAAAATTACAAAAATTAGCCAGGCATGGTGGCAGGTACCTGTAATCCCAGCTATTTGGGAGGCTGATGGAGGAGAATCACTTGAACCCAAGAGGCAGAGGTTGCAGTGAGCCAAGATTGCACCACTGCACTCCAGCCTGGTGACGGAGCAAGACTTGTCGCAAAAAAAAAAAAAAAAAAAAAAAAATTTGTGTGAAAGGTCCTCAACCAATACCCTGTGTACTATTTTCCCTAAAATGTACTGAATACAATGACCTCATAGGCACTTTAGATGGTTATGCAGTGCAAGGAAATTATAACTGGGGCCTTTACATGAGGACTAAATAGAGCCAGTGGCATTTGACCATTTCTTAGAAAGCCAGGACTCAATTAGACTAGCTTCTACCTGCCACTCTGCAGTAGTTAGCTCCAACTGGGTGGGTGGGTGTCTACGTTCTATAAAGCCAGTCTGACTGCCGTTCTCCAATCCTGCTTTGCATGCACTAAAATTCTCAAACTACAGTCTTAATTAGTTTACTCACTGTTTTGAAAAGCTGAAAACAGTTCCTTAAGAAAATAAAGAGTGGGCAGGTTGAGGATAAGAGCCCAAGATTTGTCAAGCTATCATGTGGGCCATGAACCAACTTATTTTTATCATTATAAAAAAGGGAGTTGGCTCATTACTTATCTATGTTTCCATTACTAGGAAAACCAAAGCAGAAATGTATGTAACAGGAAACATGAATATAATAAATCCTTTGGTGTTCTGCACTTAATGCTTTAAAAATGTTTTGATATTTGTGAGGAAAATCTGAAGTCAAGCAAAGAAACAAAACAGGAGACAGTATGATAATAGGAGGCATATTTTATTCAGTTTCCCAATAAGTCAATTAGAAACATGCACTGCTAAAATGCAAGTTACAATTCAAACGGTACCACAAATAATTAGAATATACACTGTGCATTTCCAGAAATCAGCTTCCATATCTTGGTCACTAAATGGAAAGGTTCTTCAGAACAGTCCCTCACCCTATATACAGAAGGAGAAGAAAAATTAAGGATGCCATAATGACATCTATCACAATAACTGGAAAACATTTTAAAGTTAATTTAGCGTACATTTTTGACACGTAAAAAATATAAATGAATTTGTTGTGGACATTTCTATAAGGAGGACATTCCAATAGGAGGAGAATGATAAAATTCATGTTGAAAATATACTGGAACTAGGACATGATTAAGAAAAAAACACATTTATAAGCCCAATTGGTAAAGATGTCATTATAACTAAAGGAGGAAAATTACATATTTGAATATATGGCTTCTTTCCTATCTTAAACATTCAAAAGGGCCATTTCTTAACTACTTGGTCTAAATTTTATTATGTATGATTCCTTTGTTTCATCTCAGAGATTTTACTTTTACCCATATAGCTAGAATTTTGCTTACAAATGATAAAATACAGGTAAAGCATAAGAGGAATGCAAATATGGAACAAAACTGAGAACATTACAATTCAATTCGTCTACCACACACCATAAAACATTATATAAATATTTCACATTGAAAAAAATGTCCTGAGTACTTATTTCTGTTAGGAGTAAAGTGGTACTTAACAATGGCAAAAAAATTTCTATTTTAAAACAAAATTTTGAGAAAGTAGAGTGAAATGAGATAGCTATTGGGGAATGAAGAAAAAGGATGTATTAATAACGATTTAAGGGTGAATATAAAATGCTCCCCCTGCTCAAAAC